GGCCCGGGCGGGGCTCCCACTCCCGCACAGAACGCACAGACTCGGCCTCACCGATGGACACGAGGTCCCCAGGCACAACCTCATCGCTGGTGATCGGCCTCCACTTGCGGCTCCGGTAGACCTGGGTGGCGGGGCGACATCAGCGTGGCCGCCGTGCTGCGCCCACCCCCGACCCGGGCGGTGCCCTGGCCCGCACCTGGATCATGTGCGGCTTGTTGCCCATCTTGCGGATCTCAGACATGTTCCGCATCTGCTGCTGCACCAGGGACGCCTCGAAAGCCACCAGCATGGACAGCGTGAAGACACTGTAGTACCAGTACTCGTCCAGGCACCAGAGCCCCACGCAGAACACCTGCGGGGCGGGGCGGGGCGGGGCGCGTGCCGGTCTGTCCTTGCCCTTGCCTGGCCCCAGGAGCCCCGTGCATGACACGGCCGTGCCATCCACAGGCTCAGGGTTTGGGGGTGGCAGATAGGCTTGTTCCGGCTGTGACAGCCCCGAGGAAAGGGAAAGGGACAAAGGACCAAGCTGCCGCTTTACCTGGAACACGAAGAACGGGGCTGTGGCCCTCTCCTTGAAAAGCTCGGAGAAGTCGGGCACCACCATCTCAGCCCTACGAGAGACCAGCACACGCCCTGTACCTGCAGCAGGGCTCTGACGGGTACAAGCCCCGTCCGCACGCCTGCCTGGGGACCCGCGGGCCTCCCGGGGAATCCACAGGGTGTCCCAAGCCCCGGGAGCTATCCCCACAGGGCTTCCCCCAACCGTGGCTGCCCTCAGCCCGGCAGTGCCAGGAGTGGATGACGGCGGCACGGGCCCCACTCTGAGGCCTCGGTGGCTGCAGCGGGGGACAGCAAGTGCGGGGGGGGGGGGCTGAAGTTGCACATGAGACTGGCCGGGGAGGCGGATGCAGAGCCAAGCTCGCAAGGAATGGAACCGGGGTTTTCTAAAAGGCCCTGGCGAAGAGCCCCAGAGCGCCGAGCTGGGCCCGAGGGTGTCTTCCAGGGCACTGAGTGTGCGTGGCCGCCAGCCTAAGGGATCAGCCGGTTAGGCCTGTCCTCACCGTGCCCTCGAACCGGAGGGGCCCTCCCAGACACCTTGGGCCGGGACCGCAGAGGGCACGGCACGATCCCACGTGTGGAAGCCGTGGACCATACAGCTCCTCCCACACCCTGCCAGGCGGCCGACCTCGGGCAGCGGCCCGGTGCTTCCCGAATGGCCCCGTGTGACACCCACAGCCGTGGGAGACGCTTTCAGTTTCTGAACGGCAACCGGCAACCGAGTCAGGGGCCTCGGGAGCGAGCTCCGTGGGTCTCCAGCTGGAGGAAACCGTCGTGGTGGCCACGATGGGCTCCGACGCCCGGCTTCCCGCGGCCCCGTCCCAGCCTCGGGCTCACAGAGGTGGTTTTGGTGAGGGTAAAAGGACAAGGCGTGGCGCGCAGCATCCACTATACACTCTGCCTTCCCCCGTGCTGGGGATGGAACCCAGGGCCTCACGCAGCCCGTCAGTGTCCTATTGCTGAGCCGCACCCAGCCCTTCTCAGGCTTTTGTTTTGAAACGGGGTCTTGCTAAGATTTCCCGGCTGGCCTTGAACTTGAGATTTGAGATTTTCCTGCCTGGGTCTCTGTGTGGCTAGGATCGCACCCAGTCAACATTTCCTATCACTATTTCTTTTTTTTTCTTTTCTTTTCTTTTCTTTTTTTTTTGAGACAGGGTCTCACTATGCAGCCCAGCTGGCCTCAAACTCACAGCAATCCTCTTGCCCCAGCCTCCCGAGTGCTGGGATGACAGGACAGGCGTGCGCCACCACACTATCAGGTCTCTATCACTATTTCTAAAGGGCTGTGATAGCATAACAGAGAGGGTGGAAATTTAAACAAAGAATTTAAAATGAAGAGGAGCGCGGGAGGAGACGAGGATGCAGAGCTGACTTGTGAGGCGGGCTGGGGGCCAGGCCCCGGGTAGGCAGGTGTGGGGGACACACACTCCTCCCTGGTACCCCAATCGCTGGGCACCCCTAGCTAAAGGCAGGCTCCGAGCACACACGCAGAAGGGGCTGCCGGCCACCAGGGACTCACTTGTTGCTCCCAAATTTCTTCTCGGCAGCGCGGATCTCCGAGTCCTCCTGGAAGCCCCTGTGGCTCTGGTAGAAGGAGAACGCGTTTCGCACGGGGAAGGCCACGGGGAGGAACTGCTTTTTCTCCAGGGCATCGTAGGAGTATTTGATCTTCTGGAATTCGAAGGACAGCACCTCGAGCCCGTCTTCGCCCTGTGGGGTGAGGCGTGCTCGTGGCAGTGCCCAGGAATCTCTCCCAAGCCCCCGATCCGGGGTCTCCCCGCGGGCAATCCCTACCTCGTTTCGGTGCAGGGCCACAAGCTCGGTGGAACCGTTGTTGGGGGTCGGCACCACCTTCACAAAGGTCGCCTTGCTGGGGTCGTACTCCTGCCAGACAGGCAAAGCACTGTCACTGAGCCGTCTCAGCTCATGGGCCCACGGGCCCACAGGAAACGGGGGGGGGACAACAGTTCCATAGTAAGTTTGGAACACGCCACTGGGCTCCGGTCTGGTTGGCCACTCCCCAGGCTGTCGCTGGGACGAGCGACACCACCTCCCTGTGCCTCTGGTCCGTATTATAAAGCTGGGGTCATGGAGAGCACCCGACACCCAGGGATCTGGTGACACGAACTCACACAGGAAGAGGGACGGCAGGCATCTACTGTGTCCTCAGTTTGCAAGGGCACAGCCCGCCTGCGCTTGTCCCCCTCACCCCTTCCTGCTGGTCCGCCTGGAATATGCATTCATAGAGCCGGCTTCCCTGACGCCTCTGGCCTCTGCTTAAATGCCACCTCAGGAGCCCTTCCTGGCCGTCCCATCTAAAGTTCCCTGGAGTGTCTGTTATCGCTCCGTGGCATCGGCTGCTGAGTGGCAATTTTCTCTCTTGCTAATGCCACCAAGGCAGCAGACTGCCCGCTGTCCACTGCTGTTTCCTAAGACACAGGAAGCACGCCCTCAGTTCTGAGCTGTATCCGTTCCCGCTGCTCGCTAGACCCTGGGACAACTGGAGGCAAGGAGGGGACAGGGAGCAGCACAGCGAGGACCCTAACCACCTGCCACGCCTGGGGAGATGCACGGCCAGCGAGGTAGGCGGAAAATAGCAACGAACATTGAACCACGAGCTGCAGGAAAGCCGCGGGACAAAAGCGCAAGGCACAGAAGTGGCTCTGGACCCGCAGCGGCTGCTTTTTGGATGTCACCTCAGCTTCTTGCCGCAGTGACACCAGGAGGTTAGGTGTTACGGCTCTCACTTTACAGACGCTGGAAATTGAAACTCAGAGGAGAAGCAGCGGCCTGAGATGTGCTGCAAACCCAGATCTGCCTCTCCTAGTTGGCGGAGTTCCTCCCGCTCCTCCACCCCTGGAGAGGACGTGCACCGTTACACTCTAGCTGCAGATCAGCAGCAGCTGCAAGTCTTGGAGGACCACTTCCAAGACTCCCCAACTTCCTTTCTTTTATTTGTCCTTTGCTGGGGTCTTTCCCTGTACCAACAAAGCCACAGAGCCCGGAAGTTCCAGCCTTTCCGTGGCGTAAGTCTCACCGGGGAGAGCACGAGGACTCCACGCACATTTACAGCCACAGAGGGAAGGCATCCTTTCTGTCCTTCCTGCACCCCTGCTGCTGTCCCCTGTCCCTCTTCTTGTGGCCAATCCACGCCCAGGATTAGGCCAGAGGGGCGCTGAAGGTATACCTCAACGCCTTGGGTTCCAAAACTTGGTGTCATCTGCGTCTGGCAGAGCAGCCACTACATGGGAGCTGTCGGCTCCCTTCAGCTCTGTATCACAGTCACCGCCTTCTGGGGTGGCACTCACTTACTCGGAACACCGACTGCGGGTCACACACACTGCCCGGTGTGTTGTACCCGGATCTCACCGTCACCACGCTTATCTGACACAAGGTCACCAGCTGTGAAGTCGCTTACTCACAAAGAGGCCCTGTTCAGCTTAAACACAGCGCTACCTGCAGTTCGTGCCCTTTGGTCTAGCGTGGAAAACAGCCTGGGCCCCGGACAGCAGGGCTTGGCTGTACGACCAGACTTCATAGGTGCGGGAACCCACCCCGCAGGGCAAGCCGACACTTTGCAAACCAAGGCAGGAGACACTGGCTTGGAGGACAGGCCCATCTTTAAGGAAACAACAGCCGGTAAGGAGTTAGCATTAGCACATCCTATCCCATAGGATCCGTGCTGGGCTCTAGGCTTAGTCTTTTGCAGCCATGAGCTTAGTGACCCAAATGGCCACACCAGGAAGGAGCCTGAGATAGGAAGTACAGTAACGCACGTCGCGGTCAGGACGCAGCCTGAGCCCAAAGGCAGAGGAGAGCGGGCCGCTGGGGACCGAGGCCTAGCGGACGGGAGGCTCCGGGCGGGTTAGAGACCCGCGGCGAGGCCGGATGGTGGCCGGGGTCGGGCTCGTGAGCGCGCACTTACCGGGGTGCAGGTGAGCGCGCAGTGCGCGTGCACGGACCAATGCCCCGAGAGAACGGTGAGGGCGTGCGCGAGGCAGATGGTGGCGAGAACCAGTAGCGCGGCCTCGGGGATCTGAGCCCAGCTGCTGCCCCAACCCCAGCAGCCTGCGGCCGCAGCCCCGAGCCAGGCCGGGTAGAGGAGCCCCGCGAACGGCAGCACGGTGAGGCGCCGCAGAAGCGCCAGCCGCCGGTATGGCCACACGGCGGCCACCAGCTCGTCGCCGCTCGCTATGAGGGCCGGCCCCGCGGTAAGGAGCACATGCGGCTGCGGCCCGGACCTGGGCTGCCCATCAGGCCGGGCCCCGCAAGGCCGGGCCCCGCAGGGCACCGCATTACCCACCGCCGCCATCTTTCCCACAGCCTGGCGCTCGCTTCCGGGCGGAGGCCCCGCCCCACTTCCGTATGACACTTCCGGTGAGCTCTGGACGCCGCCATGATATCCCCGGTGATGGGAAGCGCCCGGGCAACAGAGGCAGCTAAGCCCGGAAGTGGTTAGTTAGGGCGTCGCCATGACAGTCTGTGGCCGGAAAGAGCGGCACGGCGCCGCCATGACGGAGAGGGAGAGAAAGGTTTAGGGCGGCCTGCTCGTGCTGCCACGCCGGATTATGACCGGAAAAGACGGGCGCCACCATGACAACCCGAACCGGAAGAGGCGAACCCTCCTGGGTGACTGCACGAGCACCTCCCTGTCACGAAGGGCGGAGCCTGGAGTTTGGGAAAGGAGGGCCAATCGAGACGGGCCTTCAGGGGCGGGGCTTAGGGTGGAGGCGGGGCTTGTGGGAGTAGGTCGTGGGAGGGCTCTGTTATGGGGCGGGGTTTGCGAGGGCGGGCCCTGTGGGGCGGAGCACAGGGGCGGGGTCCTGCTGAGGAGGTGGGATTTGTGGGGGCAGAACGTGTGCGGCAGGCCCTTTTGTGGGGGCGGGTTTGAGAGCGCGCGTCCCACAGACGCGGGTCCTTCTGTGGGTGCAGAGCTTGAGAGGGTTGCCTTGGTCGGAGGTGCAGACCCGGTTGAAGTCTCCAGGGCAGCCAGGGCCAAGCCTCCAGAAGGTGGTTGCAGGGACCCAGGCACACCTATCTCCGCTTCTTGAAACTAAGAGCCCAGCCCAGCCCCTGTCAGTGCCCTGCAGCTGTGATCTCACCGGGCTGACAGCGGTGCCCCAGCCCTGCTGACCCACCCTGTTTGTGCTGGGGTGGGTGTGGGGAGCGACTGAAGCTGCAGATGGACCGCACATGCGGGACTAAAGCGAGGCCAGCTCTGAGAACAGAGTGCCCAAGGTGAGCCATGTGAACGAGCTAATAGGCAGAGAGGGGTCACGTGACACCAACCTGTCCAGTGTATAAACTTGCTGCCGTCGGCGGGCAGTTCTTTTCTCCAGTCTGGAGAGAGCGCCCCACCTGACCTCAGCTTTCTGCATTCTGACACTTGTCTTCATTTCTTTGTCCTCCACCGTCTGTCCCCTGGGAAGCTTGAGAGCTGCACTGGACGTGCAGGTAGGAGCAGGGTGCGAGCCAGGCCTGGGGGAATGGAGGTTGGGGGCTTGGGGACCCCTCTTGCTGGTGCCCCAGGTGTGGTCTTCCTCCCATGCCTTCCTGCACATCCCGGGAGGCCCTGAGTCAGCATATGCCCTCACAGGGGTCCAAACCAGGGGCTGCCAGTCCCAGCGTAAGCCAGCTTTTCTGCGTCTTTTTTTTTTTTTAAATTTTAATTTTTGTCAGTACATGTTTGCAGTAATGAATATTATACACATCGAGGGGTGCTGGTACTTGGACATAGCACATCTTCATTCTTTTTACATCCCCTTCATTCCCCTCCCTTTACCTTCCTTCCATTTCCTTGGTTCCCTTCCCACATGCAGATCTGTCTGTTTTCTATTTCCTTTTATTTTCATTATGTGTAGAGAAACCATGCAATATTAAAGCTTGTGTGTCTGGTTTAGTTTATAGTCTCAAGGGTACATCTGCTTTTGTACAAATGTCTCACATTTATCCTTCTTCACAGCAGAGTACTACTCCATTGCATATAAATGTCACATTTTTTTTTTTTTTGGTTTTGGTTTTTCTCCGGTACCAGGAACCGAACTCATGACCTCACACTTGCCAGGCAGGCGCTTTTGCCGCTGAGCTAAATCCCCAGCCCTTCTTTATTTGTTCATCTGTTGATGGACGTATGAGTTGCTTCCAAGATTTAGCTTTTTTTTTTTTTTGGCTTTTCTCCGGTACGAGGAACCGAACTCACGACCTTGCACTTGCCAGGCAGGTGCTTTTGCCGCTGAGCTAAGTCCCCAGCCCCCACCCCCCCTTTTTTTTTGTCTTTTTGAGACAGGGTCTCGCTATGCAGTTCAGGCTGGCCTTGAGCTCACTTTGTAGCCCAGGCTGGTCTTGAACTTGAAACAGTCCTCCTGCCTCAGCCACCCTCGTGCTGGGATTACAGGCGTGTGCCACCATGCCCGGGCAAGATTTAGCTATTGTGAATTGTGCTGATATAAACATGTGTATACATATGCTTATCATATGATTATCTCAACAGGTGAAGAAAAAGCTTTTGGCAAAATTCAGTATCCATTCATGATAAAAAATACTTAACAAAATAAGTATAGAAGGACCTTATCTCAATCTGATAAAAGCCACTTATGACAAACCTACTGCCACATCGTATTTTTTTTATTTTAAAAATGAAAGAAGTAAAATATTAACAAACAGACAACCATTTACAAAATAGGAAAAGAACAATACAGACAATACAGAGTTACAAACAAAGTGGTGGGAAATTAACAATGCTTGTTGTGTTACATATTGATATCTTCAAAGTGATTTCCCACGAAAACAGAGACATGCGATATCGATCAATCAAGGAATCATTAACTGTTTCTTTCAGCAAAGAAATAGAAGACAGTAGAACAACTATGGTAACTATCCTGTATATACATACATACAAAATTTCTCCTTCTTTCCCTTCTCTTTTCCTACATCCTAGTTGTCCTTTACCCTTGAGCATTTTCCTTTCATTTCAAAATGTCTATCCTACCTCCGACTTTATATTCACTCTTTCAGGTTTTACTTTAGTGAGACAATGCGGTGCTTGTACATGCAGGTCTGATTTATTTCACTTATGAGCATGGTCTCTAGTTGTGA